ATGTCAGCTGCAAGGACCAACTTGCAGATTTCTTGACAAAGCCGCTGCCACGGGCGTCCTTTCACGGTCTCCTCATCAAGATCAGAGTCTCTCCCGGTCCTCCGTCTTGAGGGGGTGTGTTAGATATTATAATTGAGGAGATTACAATCTTCGCATATTTAGCAATCTTCCTTATACTTAGCCATTATTGTTACTGCAATCTCTCCATAGAATCTGCATAAGTACCTATATATCCGTATGTATCAAAACCTAATAACATACGATTCATACTTTGCTTACATTAAGAGCATTCAAATATTAATTATATTTTTTTAATAGAAAAATATTATCAATTTTTAAGATATTGAAATTTGTTTCTAATTTCTATATTTTTTGTTATATTTTTAAATATAGAAAAAATTCATCAATTTTTATTATTTAGTGTTTCTAACAATAAAATTTTCATTTGATTTGCAAATTTATTTTATAAGACAACATATCGAAATATTTTAGTTGAATTTTTTTTTAAAAAACTAATCAATTGATATCAATATTATTTTTCATATGATTGTTTAAATTAATTTTTATATTATATTTAATAAAATTGTGATCCAGATATATTTGAGAGAGATTTTTCATGAAAGCATAATATTAAAAAAGAGAGAGACCGCTTGCGCATTTAAGTACTTTAAGAAGGATCAGATGCAAAGTTTCTCAGCCACAATATGAAATTAGTGGTTGTGATTATGTGCAAAAAACACACACATTTAATTGCAAAATCTTAATCGGACCTAAAAATACAACTCATTAACAGTTGTAATGACATATTCGAATGTGTTTTCCCTCTCCATGGACCCACCATCCAAATAATAATAATAATAATGATGATGATGATGATGATGGTGATGATGGTGATGATCAAAGGATCCCTTTTATAGCTACTCATATGAAATCAAAGCTCATATGGACAATGGTTGTCTGTTAAACCGACAATCTTGGCTTTTTTTCCTTTTATGGGGTTCCATTAAATCTTCAGAATACTGAATATTATTATTAACTAAATAATTCAGTATCCTTCACGCGCCTCCCTTGCGCGTGTACAGCACCCCTTCCTCAATTCCGAATACGGAAAATATTAACTAAATATTGCCGGTAAATTAGCCCAAAATGTTGAAAATATTATTGTTGTGTAAAGATTTTCAAATTTTGTTTTAAAACTATGAAATAATTAGATATTATATTTTATAAAATTATAAAAACGATGTTTGTTGCTGTGAAATATATATAGATGTCATTTAGGGTTGCATCTCTATCAATATTTAAAAAGTTTTATTCTGGGGAATACTGATTTTGTTTGTTTTATGTACCGGAAACCTATGACTGGGATGACCATGAAATGTGACACTCCTTTGTAATTTTTTATTTCCAGATTTATAATATTTACGTTTTAACAAAAAAAATATTAAAAAGTTTTCCTTATTTTACAGATTATTGGCGCTGGAATTGGAGTTAATGGAGGGAATACAAATAATTTTGAATGTTTGTTACACAATTTTGTATTTACTTTTCTGTTATATTTTTTATTCCATTCTTTCCTATATATAACGGAATGTACAGTGACTTGCGAGAATACACAGAAATTTCAAATTCATTTCGTCTCTCTTCTCTGTTTCTCTTCACCTGAGAACAGAGCATCGCAACTTCATTTCATAAAATGGTATCAGAGCCTCTGTGCTAAGATCCTGGGTTTTCCGATCTTTTCATTCCCATTTTTCTTCGGTTTTCTCGATTGATTTTCTGGAGTTATGGCGTCTCCACCACCTCCTGAATCCCCGGTGCAAGCTTTTCCGTCTCCGGTGTCTTCTGCTCCGGTCTCCTCACAGACCGCTGCTTCTTTCGATTGTTTTGACAATCCGTATTTCTTGAGTTCTGGCGATCATGGTGGTATCCAGATTGTCACAAAACGACTCACTGGAGCTGGTGATTATAGCTTTTGGCAACGGGCTATTTCCATGGCTCTCGAGGGTCGAAACAAACTGTGTTTTGTTGACGGTTCTCTTCCACAGCCTCTTGTTGGTGATCCTGCTCTCCGTTTCTGGAATCGTAACAATGCTATTGTCGGTTCCTGGATCATCAATTATGTGGCTGAGGACATTTCTGAAAATCTGATGTATATTCCCACCGCTCGTGAGATGTGGCTGGATCTCGCTCATCGTTTTCAGCAATCCAATGCTCCCCGCAAATATCGTGTGAAGCATAAACTTCGCAGCCTTCGTCAAGGTACCATGAACGTTGCTAAATACTGTACTGCTCTCTCCACTATTTGGAAGGAACTCAAAACTGTTCGTGTGAATTCTCGTTGCTCTTGTGGGAAATGCACTTGTCTTGTGGATAAACGTTGGACTGATGAATTTGAAGGTGATTTCGTTATTGATTTTCTTTATGGGCTTAATGATGAGTTTGAAGCGGTTCGCAATCAGATCACCATGATGGATCATATGCCTGATATTCAGCGGGCATATAATTTGGTAATTCAGCAGGAGCAACAGCGTTTGGTTAAGTCTCCCTTACCCTCTGATGCTGTTATCTTCCAAGCTTCAGTTTCGCCTCCTGCTGACAGTGTTGGCGCTGTTGCTGGTACCTACAAACCCAAGCAACATCCCCTTTGTACTCATTGTGGTCTTTATGGCCATACGGTTCAAAAATGCTATAAGCTCCATGGTTATCCACCTGGGTACAAATCTTCTGGCGCTGCTCGGTCTTCATCCACTGCTAAGCCCTCCCCTCGACTTCCTTCCTCGGCTGCTGGAAATTATGCTAATCTGGTTAAGGAGACTGGTCTTGTTGCTTCTCCTTTTGTTCCAGATTTGAATGGATTTTCTATTGCTCAGTTGCAGGAGCTGTGTTCTAAACTCAGCACTCAGTTGAGCACTTATAGTCCTACTGTTTCTTCGGCTGGAGCTCCTGATGTTACCAACTCTTCTGGTAATCGACTCCTCTTATCTTCATTCATCTGTTCATATGTTTCTTCTGATGTCTCGGATTCATACTCTGCCTCGTGGATTATTGACTCGGGTGCCTCGGCCCATGTTTGCTTTGACAAACAGCTGTTTAAGGATCTTGTTCAGATTCCCCCTCGATCTGTAACATTGCCTAATGGTGCGAAGTTACTGGTTCATCATATGATTTCTGTTTCCCTGAATGATCATATTCTTTTGCACAATGTCTTCTACATCCCTGATTTTTCTTTTAACATTGTGAGTGTTAGTTCGTTGCTTCTTCATTCTAATCTTGTTGTTTCTTTCTCCTCTGATTGTTGGCTCATTCAGGAGCCTACTCAGGGCTCGACGATTGGGAAGGCTAGGCTTAGTCACAATCTGTATTTTTTCGAGCCTGGCATCTCTTCTCCGCACTCACAATCTTCTCCTTCGTTTTCAGTCCAAGCCTTCCATGCTGATGCTGCTCTTTGGCATTGTCGCCTTGGACATCCCTCTTTTCAAAAGATTAAATCTATTTCTTCTATTCTTTCTATTAAACGTTTTACAGATGTTACACATTGTGAAACTTGCCATTTGGCTAAACAGAGGCGTTTACCTTTCGTATCTTATAACAATCTTTCTCCCTGTTCTTTTGATCTCATACATATTGATGTTTGGGGTCCTTTTGCCTCTGTTTCTCATGATGGTTTCCGTTATTTCTTAACCATTGTTGATAATCATTCTCGGGTTACGTGGATCTATATGATGAAAACCAAGAACGACGTTCTCAGGCTTATCCCGGAGTTTGTAACCCTTATTGAGACACAGTTTGGAAAAACTATCAAGGTCGTTCGATCGGATAATGCGCCTGAGCTTAGGTTCATTGATTTTTTTCGGACTAAAGGCATCATTCACTATTTCTCCTGTGTTCAAACACCAGAACAGAATTCCATTGTTGAACGGAAACATCAACATTTGTTGAATGTAGCGCGAGCCCTGCTATTCCAGTCAAGGTTGCCGATTTCCTTTTGGTCTGAATGTGTGCGCACGGCTGTTTATCTGATTAATCGGACTCCATCTCCTTTGCTGCTTAACAAGTCGCCTTTCGAGGTTTTGCAGGGGACAGCACCAGTTTACAGCCATTTACGTGCTTTTGGATGTCTCGCTTATGCTTCCACCTACCTCACAGACAGGCACAAGTTCTCATCTCGGGCTCGGGCAATTGTATTTCTTGGTTATCCTCCAGGATACAAAGGTTATAAGCTTCTAGACCTTGATACCAATTCCATTTTTATTTCTCGTCATGTGGTCTTTCACGAATCCATCTTTCCTTTTACACTTGGCAAAACCCTCCATTCCTCTTTTCCTTCTATTTTTTCTGACACTGTCTTACCTTTACCTATCCCTATCCCCGATATTCCTCATTCCTCTCCTTCCCTTCTTCCACCTACACACTCCACCCCTGTTATTTCTCCTACACCCTCCTCCCCTGTTGTTTCAAATCCTTCTCCTGTTTCTGATGTTTTGGTTCCTCGTGTTTCTGATACGGCCGGCACTCTTGCCAGACCTCATCGCAATGTTTCTAAACCAAAATATCTTGAGGACTATCATTGTTCTCTCCTTCACTCATCTTCTCCATACCCATTGTCTTCTGTTTTGTCCTATCATCGTTTATCACCCTCTTGTACAACCTTTGTCGTTAACTCTACAATTTCTTCTGAACCTAAAACTTTTAAAGAAGCTGTCTCCTCTGTGGAATGGAGAACTGCCATGAATACTGAGCTCGCAGCCCTTGATAGGAATGGAACCTGGTCTATTGTCTCTCTTCCACATGGCAAGAAGGCAGTTGGTTGTAAGTGGGTCTATAAGATCAAACGGAACTCCGATGGTTCGATTGACCGCTTCAAAGCTCGTCTCGTGGCTAAGGGGTATAGTCAACAGGAGGGGGTCGACTTTCTCGATACTTTCTCGCCTGTTGCTAAGTTAGTAACTGTCAAGTTACTCTTGGCCCTTGCCACAACGTAGAATTGGACTCTAACTCAGATGGATGTTACCAATGCTTTTCTTCATGGCGAGTTGGATGAAGAAAACTATATGTCCTTGCCTCCTGGTTTCACGCCTACCTCTGGTGACTCTTTACTACCTAATGTTGTGTGCAAATTGCGAAAATCTGTGTATGGGCTCCGTCAAGCGTCTCGACAATGGTATTTTACCTTTGCCAATGTCCTTCTTGCTCATGGTTTTGTTCAGTCTCCCTCTGATCATACCATGTTCGTGAAAAAGTCTGACAACTCTTTTGTGGCGATGTTGGTGTATGTCGATGACATTGTCATCGCCAGTAATGATCCTTTGGCAGTCGACAATCTGAAGACTTTATTACAGAAGAATTTTCATATCAAGGATCTTGGGGAGCTAAAGTATTTTTTGGGTTTGGAGGTTGCTCGATCTAAGCTTGGAATTGTTGTTAATCAGCGCAAATATTGTCTCGATTTGATAGCTGATTCTGGTTTTTTGGCCTGTAAACCGGTGTCCACACCGCTTGATCCAGGTGTGAAGCTTTCGAAAGATTCTGGTGAGTGTTTATCTGACATCACTGGCTATCGCAGGCTCATTGGACGTTTATTGTACTTGACCATTACAAGACCTGACATTGCTTATGTTGTTCATAAGCTTAGTCAGTTCTTGTCCTGTCCCACTGCTACCCACCTTGCTGCTGCTCAGCGGGTTGTTCGTTACTTGAAGTCGAATCCTGGGCAAGGATTGTTCTATTTTGTTGACTCGGCTCTGTGTTTGAATGTCTTCGCCGATGCAGACTGGGCATCCTGTCCCGATTCACGTCGTTCAACCTCTGGGTTTTGTGTGTTTATGGGCGATTCTTTCATCTCTTGGAAAGCCAAGAAACAGACTACTGTCTCTCGGAGCAGCACCGAAGCCGAGTATCGCTCTCTTGCTAATGCCACTTGTGAGTTAATTTGGCTCCATAACCTGTTGGCTGATTTGCATATTTCATTGTCGGGCCCTGCCAAGCTTTTCTTTGATAACCAGTCCGCAATTCATATTGCGACTAATCCCGTGTTTCATGAACGGACTAAACACATCGAGATTGATTGTCATCTCGTTCGTGACAAATTAAAAGCTGGTTTCCTAAAGCTTATGCATGTTCATGCTGCCAATCAATTTGCTGACATCTTTACCAAGGCCCTGCAACCTACCATTTTCTCTAGCTTGCTTTCTCGGTTCAATGTTTCAAGTCTGTTTCTCCCAAATCAGACTTGAGGAGGGGGTTTTACAGATTATTGACGTTTGAATTGGAGTTAATGGAGGGAATACAAATAATTTTGAATGTTTGTTACACAATTTTATATTTACTTTTCTGTTATATTTTTTATTCCATTCTTTCCTGTATATAACGGAATGTACAGTGACTTGAGAGAATACACAGAAATTTCAAATTCATTTCGTCTCTCTCTTCTCTGTTTCTCTTCACCTGAGAACAGAGCATCACAACTTCATTTCATAAAACCTTAAAAAAAATTATTTAAAAACTTTTTGAAAATTTCAAAGATTTATAATTTGTTTTCCTTATATATACATATATATAATAAAAAAAACCGATTATATAAATTTTGTCTACCCGAATAATATACATATGATACAGAACCAGAAACAAATTAATACACACCATTATATTACATTTTTACCAAAAAAATATATATATATACATATTACATATAGTTTTGTTGGGATGACATAACCTGTGAAAATCTATTGATTACGTAAAAATGTACTAATTCATTTATTTCGTTTTTTTTTTGTGAAGATTTATTTCGTAATTGGAATAGTGAGAGTCGACATTTGGTTTGGGATCCGTCACATAACTTCTCGAGTGTTTTGTCGGAGTCCCGATCGAAGCCAAAATGGATTAGGATCTACTACTTCTACTGTCCCCATCTCTCTTCTTCATTCTCTGTTTTTTTTTTCAATTAATTGAAAATAATTATCTAATAACTTATTAATCTTTATTAAATTTTTGGAATCCTTTTTCGCTATGTTTATAGACAAAATTTTAGCTTATTAGCATAGAATTCTATGAATATGAAAGAATTATCGAATTCCAAACTTAATGGAACGGTAAATTCTTTTTGGAATTAATAATACTAAAAAAGATTAGTGATTTTAGGGTATAATATAACAGAAAAATAAATAACCGTTTTTTTCCCTACTTTGGATGTATAACGTCCCATAAGTACTTCCCATAAGAAGCCTTTAGTTTGAATGATAGCTTTTAAGATATTTTCAGACAGAGGTGTGAGTTTTGTCTTTTATGGCATGCCAGACGGCGAGGATTTTCTATTCGTAGCTATTGAACGTTGAGACGTGTTCTTTTTAAGGATTTGAGATAAAAACTCCCGAAGTAAAACGGCACGCAGTCCGGTTTTTCGATGGCCAGCACTTTCATCAACCGGAATGGCATATTTCTTGAACAAAAGACGATTTCTCTGTTACTTTTTGTACATTATATGTTGTAAATAAATAAACAAATTAGTATTCATTCTCAAAATAGACAATATTCCTACTCAAACGATAACCATATGTATTTATTTATTTATTTATTGAATTTAACTGCTATTTCCAATTAATCGTAATATTTGGAATACAAAGGATGACTCGTTGATTGATTTTATGAACTCAGAGTATACATATATATAAAAACATGTCAGAATATATATATATATATA